ATATATATATATATATATATATATATATATATGTGCATTGTTATTTGTTAATGTATTTCTTTTGCAAACGTCTAATAAGAACTCACTTTATCGTTATGTCATCCTAGTATCCAAGATTGATCTAACATATTATTAAGTTTAAAACAAATCTTAAAGTGAAACTTTTAAAATTAATAATAATATCTTTTGATAAAAAATAAAAACATTTTAGAAAAATGTCTTAAAAAATAACTATATTTGTATATTTTTTTAAGGGATGAACCTTTTAAAGTGAATTTTTAAGAATGTAAAAAGTAACTATTTAAATATAAAACCTTGACAAAATTATATAAATATTAATATGTTTTTTTAAAGAAATTTAAAACAAAAACTTTGTTTGCTTGACCCTTAGACCAACCCTTCTAGAATGATATAACAACATAATGAATTTTGGTGCTTTTATAAAAAAGTTAGTTGTTCATAAAAAAAAAACAAAATATTTTCTCAAAAGAATATATCAAACATATAAATTAAACTTTAATTTTATCATAAACATAAATATTAATTACATTTTAAACCTATATTATCTTCTTAAGTGGTCGTATAAAAAATTAAAAAAAAGATTTTTCTCTTTCACTTTTCATTATATCAACTACTATATTACATTTTTTTTCTTCACTTTCTTATTTTAAAAAATTGTACAATCATGAATAAAATTATAATTTCTCAATAGACAAGTTCAAATTAATTGAACATATTTATACTTTTAGTAGAAAACTAAAATGCAAATTTAATTGAAAAATAATAATTTTTATTTATATAAATTAAAATAATTATGTTAAATCATAATGTTTCTAACTTTCTTTTCAATTCTTAACTTAGATATAAAGTAGCATACAAAAGTACTACTTTAGTCTGTAGATAAAATCCATGAAAATGAATTGTATTTTTTTTAATTAAAAAATAGATTTTTTTAATAAAAAAAAAATAAGAAGTGTTTTTAAGAATTTTAGCCTCATTATTCATTTATATTTATAAAGCTCTAAAATGAACATGCTTGTGCTAGGGTTTAAGATTGTGGAAGGGTTTTGGCAAAAGATACGGTTTTTGTTTTGACAAGTGGAGAAAGAGTGAGATATTTATATTATATGCATGTGAGAGAGAGAGAGAGAGGCAGTGATATTAATAGGTTTAGTTAGGGGTTTTGGGTTTTGGGTTTTCACTACACTTCTCAGCTTCAGGTGGCTGTGATGTGAGCCACTGAAAATGGAAGGCTTCGACGATGATGATTTCGGCGAACTCTACGCCGTCGACATTGAACTTCCCAATACCATCCAGGAAGAAGAAGAAGAAGTAAAACCTGATGTGAACACTAACATTGCCAATCTTCACCAGGACAAGAACAACGATGCGGTGAATGATTGTGATGACTGTGCTGCTGCAAGTGACAGCGATGACGACGACGACGACGATGCTCTGAAAATCGTGTTGAATGACGAGGATGTTCCTGCCGGAGTTGTTGGATGCGACGACGACGGCGATGCTGATGAGGGCGATGATAATGGTTCCAGATATTTTCATCCTAAGGTCAGTAAGGTGCTGCTGCTTCTTCCTCTCTTTTTTGGTTTTTTTTTTTTTTTTTTTTTTTTTTTTGTTTTTTTTTTTTTAGTTATTGGATAATTTGGAATTGGGTTGCTGTTTCAATTATTTGTGGACATGGTAGTTGAATAAGTAGTGTCTTGAAAAAAAGTAAAATAAATAAGTAAGAGTTAGATTCAGTTCATTAATGGTGTTATATTTTCATTATTTTTTTAGTTTGTTGCATATGTGTTTTTCTGTTTAGTTTTTAATTATACAACTGAGAGTGTTGTCTAGTGCTTGAATGTGATTCGTTTTTGTAGTGTGGGAGGGGTCGAAGATTGGCATTTGAAAAAAATATGGAAGCGGCTTTTGAGAATAATATGAAGGTCAATGCAGCAATGGGTATGGCTTCCTACATTTCATCCTTGAATAGAAGGAGGAGGAATGGTGATACCGTTGTTCAGAACCTTGGATTGAACTCCTCTCGAGTGTGTCTTGCAGCAAATCCTATGTTTGTTCAATGTGGATATGCATCGGTTCTTCCGTGGTCCTGGTCAGTCTATGCATTTTGTTTAGCAGTTCATGCAGAGCTCGGTTAATTTTGTTTCTTTGATAAACTAAATGTGATGCAAGTGCCTAAGTGGTATATCATTGCGGAGTTCAGTGTGATCACATATCTCTCATACTGAAATTGGCGATGATCATGGCATTTTTGATATGTTATGTTATTCTAGCTGACATTTGTATATCTTAACATGTATTGTGATTTCCCCTCTTATTGCAGGGGTATATTTGATGTAAACATTGATACATTAACGGAGAAGCCATGGAAGATTCCTGGAGTTGACATGACGGATTACTTTAACTTTGGTTTTAATGAGAGCACTTGGAAGTTATACTGTGCTTCATTGGTGGGTATATTATTATGCCCGAGAGATATCACTTTATAGCTTTTATGTGAAGCTTGTCTCTTGGTTTCTCTGGTTAGGTTCTGGCATAATTTAGTTATCCATATCTCTAGCTAGCAGTACTGGAATTTCTGCTACTTTTTTGGCATTACCCACTAGGTTATCTGTTTAATGTTTTAATGGTGAGATAATTGACATTTGCTTTTTATTAGCGACTCATGAAATTTATCTGATGAGAGTGTTACACTTAAACTGTATGCAGGAGCAACTTTGGAAAACATCCTTGCAAACTGGTATTTCTGTTGATGACTCTGCAAAATGGAATCAGGTGTGTAATATAATATTTGTAAAAGAACAATTAACTAAGTAATAAGTTGTATTTTTGTGGTGAATTCTCTTGTCTGATGTTGCTGACTCGGATAAGTATTTCAGGAAGCCATGAGAGAGCAAACTGATCAAGTAGTCTCAGGGAATGTACTTTTTCCTTCATCAGATTTTGGATTGGTACGTAGATATTCACCTGTTGGCTCTTGTTAAAATATTAGGGTCATTCATGCTTGGGACTCATGTTATGTGAACAGTATTATTGGGATGGAGTATGGACTTGTATTAATTGTAGTAAATTTGTGGTTGACCTAGGTATTGGCATAAATAGGAACATTAGGTTATTGTTTTGTAACACATCTCACACTTTCCCATTAAGAGATTCTTCTCCCCCTTTTCCTTATAATTTCAGCACCTATTATTATTTTACAGTTTTTGATATTTTGAGAGTTTCTTCAAGTTATCTCCTTAACTGTTGCTTGCAAATATATACTTGGATGTGGATACTGACTGATGACTGATTTTTGATAATTCAGCCAAAAGGCAGAGCAATTCAGGTTGAGAACAGCATGGTTGAACGGCAACCATCCATAGATGTAAGGCGTCCACGCAATAGGGATTTTAATGTTATAGAGGTCTGCACTCACTCTATGTTTACAACAATTTTTGTGTTGTAGCTGCCTATGTCTTTGTAGTAATTATCACTGGTTTTGGGCAGATCAAGCTGCTTGAATCCTCAGATGATTATTCTGGTTCCGGCCATAGCATTGTAATGGATGCATTATTAGAAGGGGAATCTATGTCAGGCAATAAGCAAAGTATTCATAATTCTTCTGGTGAACAAGATGAACTGCTGTCTGAAGATCAGTTGGAAGATGTGAAAAAAGCAGAGGATGCATCTGTTCAGAAAAGGTTAGATATGCTAAATCTGATTGATCCCTTTCTATATAATATATTTTCTTTCTTGTGTTGATTCTTGGGATATATATCTGTTTGAACTTCATTGATGCTCGTTCGCTTTTCTGTATAATCCATGTTGGAAGTAAGGATAAATTTGTCAAATTCACATTCAATATGAAAATATAAAGTAATATAGATATGTGAACGGTTTTTCATTCGACAAATATAGAGAACTCCTTTCCTCAACTTTTTGTGTTGATTGTCTGTAAAATCTTATTGGATGAAAAGCATTGTACATAATAATAGCAGTACTTTAACTGCAGCTAATTTTTGTCCTAAAACTAGGTTTCCGTCTGTGAATAATCATTTCTTATGTATAGTTATCAGCATTCCTTGTTACAAATTGATTATTTGTTGTTACTGACTTCCTTCTTTTCCCCTATTGACACATAAGTTTATTGTTGAAATTCTTAATGTTTTCTTGAAGTCACTTAGTGGTTTAGTAAATTGAATCATTTATCATCTTCATAACTCTTATCTGGACTCTGCATTTCACAGAAGTGGCCCAATTCCTGGTGCAAATGGAGATGAACATCGGGATCAAGTAGACCAACATTCTGAAGATACTGCACAAGTGCCAGAGGGAGAAATAAATGCGGAGGAAGGTGGTGGCATAGATGCATTTAATTCTAATTCATGTTGGATTGAATCAGAACTGTCACTTGGAGATCAAGAACATAGCCTGACTTCCTATACTGATAGTGATTCCGAGGGAACGGAAAACAGTGTACATGTTGATAATGATAAAAATCTTAGCCCTTTAAGAAGGAAATCCTTGAATTTTGTCACTGAGATGAAGGAATCATTGCCACTTTATTGCAAGAACATGAAGAACAGTGTCAATAAAAAAGCAGTAAATGTAGCTTATAATTCAAGAACTAGAGGTCAATTCAGAAAGGAACAGAGGCACCAAAGTAGTGGATATGAGCCTGGTTATAATCGGAATAAGCACACAGAAAATAATAATGATGTCTCCCTGCTCCTCAAGTCCAGTTCAAGGGATCTGTCTCTGTTGGCTCGTCAATTTGTTGATTATGACAGACATGAAGACCAACTGGAAGATTTTGGCAGTCATAAAAGAGATGTTTCATATAATAGGGAAAAACAATCCTATTATTATGGTGGTGAAAAGGTTGTTGATGTCGTTACACGACATTCTAGATATTATCATGAAGATCGAGAAAGCTTCAGGGAGAATACAAACCGATGTAACAGAAGAAATGGGGATGTGGGGAATTATTTTTTTGAACAAGGTCCTCAATTTGCAGATAGTGAGGACAGAGAGAAAGATTGGTATCATCCTGGTTGTGGGTACTCTGCTGATGACCTGAGTAATCACTCTTATAGGGAGTCAAGATGGTCTCTTCCAAAACATTCATCTTTTCCTGATAAGGAGATGGATACTCAAAGGAAAAGAATGGATGAAAAATTCCATTTTATGGACAGAAACTTCATTGATGATTTTGATGAGTGTGAGTTTGAGTTCCTACACAAGAGATATCGCATGTCCACTTCTGCTGCTGAGAGAGAAATGGAATTGTTTGATAATAATGGTGAAGAGCAGTTTGCACATATTGATAGAGATTGGAGAAGATCTGTCCGTAGGGGAAGACACTTGGCTTCTGGGATAGTAGAAGATAATTGTCAGAAATATACACGATACCAGACTTCAAATTTTAAGCATCGTAGACAATCTTATACAGATTCAGTGAAGAATTATGCATATGATGCAAGGGTAAATGTAATTTTTGGGGGTTGTGGGAGAGATAAGCATGCTAGAGACAACAGAGGCTGTAATCAGTTGTGTGATTATACTGACACTGCTGAAGATGAAGATCTCCCAATTTACCCTGAAGAAGAGTATCGGTTTTACAGGTCACCATCTAAGTTCCTGAATTGGACTGAGGATGAAATTATTTGTAGGCATCATGAAACCCATGCATCATCTTTGTCTGCTAAGGTGCAGAGTGATGATATGCCATTGCAGTGGCATCAGCTATGTATGTCAAAGCGAGATAGTGAGAGATATTTTAAAGATAGCTCTAAGATTATGTGCAGAAGTAAGGGTGGGCAAGCAGTGCTGAGATTCAGGAAATCAGTTGACTTGATTAATGGGGAAGGAAAGGTAAAAATGGGGAAAATATGGTTGAGAGCCTGTACTTTTGTCTTTATCAATGAGTTATTCAACATCTGTTGCACTTTATTTCTTTTTGGTAGCTTTTACTTATATAAAGTCTGCTGTACTACTTCACTACCAAATATTAACTATGTTTTATCATTTTGTTCTCAACTTCTATTTGTTTTAAAAATGATTTTAAGGTTTGGACCAACTCCAGATCGAGTGATGTTCTTGAGTTTCAGCATCAATACCAAGCTAAAATGCTAAATTATAGAGAATCTCAGGTCAAGCATATGAAGCAAATCTGTGTAGTCCCTTGATGTTGTAACATTAATCTCATATTCTTTAGTAATATTTTATTATAGAGTAATATAGTCATGTGGTCCATATCTGCCAACTTTTCCTCTAGTAGGATAGGCTAAGGCTTTGGTTATTGTTCATAATAGAATAAAATTCCCCTAACTTTTCCATTTTGCTTCTAAATCGTTCTTCGAAATTAGTTCATGTGCTGTTCTGGGAACTTGACATAATATAGTAATGGCCTAATGGGTTGTGGTGATTAAGCTTACGTCAACCATGGCTGATGATCATTCCTGATCAGGGTCACATCCATAGATCTCCTGGCCTGAGATAATTGATGTGCTTATGGTATATATATATATTATGTTTAGATTTTAATTGATTGAACATTGGATATCACATTTTCTGGTCACATTTTATTGATATTTTGAGTTTTTCATTCTATTACATATGATATTTGTCACATATTTGTATCTATTATTGGTAGACTATAATTTATCCTCAGATTTTGATGGGCACAGTATGGTTTTTAGCCTTTGATTACCTTTATACGCAGGCTGGGGAGATAATTGGGCAAGATATCTGTTTTTCTTCCTTACATGTCAAAGTTTGCATTTTATACTCAATTCTATTAATGCATGGATCTGCTAATGCTAAATAGTTATAAGACTTTATCACTTTCAAAAGCCTGCATTGGTTTTTAATGTAGAAATGTTGTGTTTTGGGCAATAAGGATGTGTCTTTTCAGGTATATACTTTTCTCTACTAAATGCACTTGTCTGCCTATTATATGTTTTTAATAAGTGTATACTGTTATGGCTAGATTCTGGCTTTTCTAGTGTGGGCTTTTTCTCAAATGAATTAGTTTAAAATGATTTCCAAAGCAGATGATTGGCAGTTTGAAGGTGTATTTATCGTTTGCTAATTTTGTGATGGCAAGACATTAAGCTTCATTCATACTTTTAGTTCTTGTATTTCTCATAATTAGATTTGTCCAGAAATAATCAGTGTAGATCCAAATTCGATTTGTATTTAACGGATGAGTTAGCAGACACGGAACTTCAATGACTATCATTACATTTTCTTTGTGTTGACTTCATAATAAAGCTTGAAAGGTGTCTAATACCTTTACCATGTTTTGTTACTACTAATGAGCATTCTGTTAGTTTGTATATTTAGATGACACCCCTGCGGCTCGTATTTGTCACATCTCATTTATTTGATGCAATATTCTGCATACGTCAGCATCAGTGTTATTATTTGTCAGATGTATTGATATTTTCCTGGTTTTTGGTTTGATTATAAATTTGTGACAGTCTCGAGTGAGAAGGTCCAGAGTCTTATGCAATGGTAGGCTTGAAAATGTCAACCAGCGGATTGCTAAGAAGCGGAGAGCTTCAGTGGTTTTTGATGAATCTCATAAAAAGGCCAGCAAATTTGACACCTCAAAACATCAAAGCAATCAGGAGAGTAAGAAATGGCTTCAGATTCAGAACCTTTCAGATCAAGGACAGAAAGAAAGCTCGGATATAGAGGAAGGCCAGATTGTAACAGAAGAACCATACATGGATTCTTCGGTATCCAGGAGAGATGCTTCTGAAGGTTCATCATTGACTGATAGTGTGAAGAAGAAAATGTCACAAAATGACCAATTTATAGGTGGCTATGACAGTCAAAGGATTCTTGATTCATTAGCCAAGATGGAGAAACGCAGGGAGCGCTTTAAGCAACCCATCACAGTTAAAAGAGAAACAGAAGAGAGTTTGAAGGTCAACAATGATTCCATTGTAGATACAGGTGAAATGAAGCAACATAGGCCAGCCCGAAAGAGACGTTGGGTTGGTAACTAGTTTTGTGTTTTTTTTTTGAGAACCTGATTCGATAAAGGACAATTACCATGGTGGAACTTGGTTAATCCACCCAGCTGGAAAGCAAAATTGAGATTATAGAATTTTTTTTTAAATTTTGAATAAAGCCTGATTGGGCAAACAGTTTTGGCGGATTTTTATTTGAAAGTTTTTATATTGTGAGGACTGTAAATAAGTGACATTCATGATATAATCAAGTGGATTTTTGGATGCCCCTGTTATCCCCACACATATTCTAGCTGAGCCTGAGGCTCCATGACTCCATCAAATCATAGTATAGTTGGCTTGCAATTCTTTAGAACTCGTAAGGTACAGAAATATATTTCTGATGGTAGATTTAAAATTGCTATTAAAATATGCATTTTAAAAAAATACTGCTCAAAACTCACGAAAGTTCAAAGGGGTTGAGAGTCATTTATGTAAAATATAATGGCTATATAATAAAATGTAAAGCGGAAAATAATTAAAAATATCTAGAAAACAAAAATAAAAATAAATCTAACCTCATTTTTTTTCTCTTTTCAGTCTCTTCTAAATTTCTAATCATTAATAAGAAAAGTTCTATGTCAAATGAAATATTAACTATTAAGTGAATAATGATATTTGATTTGAACATTTTTAACACTTCATTTGCTCTATCCTATTGTCTTAATTATATCATCCCCAAATATTTACCATTTGACTCATAAAAAAATTATGTGAGTGTTTAATTATAATTAAAGTTTCATCAAATAATCTAAGTAATTAATTTTTTTATTTAATGAAAATGTGTATTATTGACATAAAATTTTAGTTATGATTGAAAAATAGTAGCTGTAGTAACAAATATTGCTTCTAAATTTTATTCTCTTTACATACCAATTTTTTTTATTATAAATTTTTTATAATAAATTATACATACATGAAAGAGGAATACAAGAAAATTATATGATAATAAAAAGTTGTGAAAAAAAAATGTGAAATAATAAAGATATATATATATATATATATATTGTATAAAATATTTTTTTTAATCATTCATTCGAAGAATCACATTTTATAATTATATTATTAGTATTGTTTTAATATTAAAATATTATTTAAATCACTTTAACAGATTATTCTTCTAATGCGTTCGCGTAATATAGTCGCTTGAATTTAATAATTGTAGTCATATACTTCTAAAAGTAAATGTATGTTAGGTAATATCATAAACATTTCTTTACTTATACCCACTTATTTTTTATTTAGAATATATTAACAATTACACTGTGTTTTAATATAATTTTTTATAACAATAATTTATTCTAAATGAAAAAAATAAGTGGCTATAAATTAATAAATTGTTATATATATACATATATAAATATATAATATAATATGATCCTTATAATATTGTTAAACCTTATAGTTTTTTCCCTTCCATTATTAAAAACGCTTTCTGTTGTTTATCAAGTATTGGCACATGACAACACTACCTTATTAAAAATGCTTACAAGGTAATGCCAAGTAGAACAATATAATCCATTTTTGTAACGAAGACTAGCAAGAGATTAGACAAAAACATAAAGTTTATAAAGGTGACAATAAATCAAATCAACTCCAAAATAATAATACGAAACTTAATTTGACAATTAATTTATTAAATTTGATTCTTGAACTAAATAAATTAAATTTGAGTTAATGATTGAATTTAATAAATAAATGAGTCAAATTTGAACTATATATAATTCGACTCGTTTAGTTCATGACTTGACATATAAATATATAATTATATAATTAATTTTATATTTACTTTCAATTTATTAAAATTTGAAAAAACTTTCAAAATTTAGTTATATGTTAATATTAATAAAAGAAGTGAAAATTTTAAAACTTAATAATTATGAATTGAGTTTTCTATTATTTTATGTAATATGAAGTTATTTTAATTTATACATACGTCAATTGTAATCATGCTTCTCAAGAATCGTACCATGTAATCTTGTAAAGCTAATATACTAAGTTTTGTTTTGTTTTTTTTAAAGAAAATAAATAATTATTTTATTTAAAATCTATTATTAAATTAAAATTTTAAAATATATAAGATTAAAATAAAATGAGTCTTATTTCATGTGATTCGAGTTAACAAGTTAAATTAAACTACTAAGTTTTAATCGAGTTAAAAAAAAAGGTTTATATCAAATTTGAATCACATTATAAGTTGAACAAAATATTATCAAGATGAATAAGCTTAATCGAGTTTAATTAAGTTCGAATCATATTTCAACTCTAAATTTAAAATACCTGAATTATAAACATTTTATGATAAGAATTAAAAACAAAAACAATATATTTACAAAGAAAAAATATTTAATCAAATAAACTACTAAATATTCATCCCAAACTATTATCCTCTCTTTTTAATGTAATAAAACCACTTTAATAATTTTAAATAATGAATATGGGTCACCTTAATTCCTAAATTGAGTATTGATTAATAATTTTTTTATTTATTGATTATTTAACCGTTTCAAAATTACGAAATAGATTGATGCACCATGCTTGAAGTACGAAAAGATTAAAAAGGTAAAAACAAAATGAAATATTAAATGCCCCCATGCAGGATCGAACTACAGACCTTCAGTTTACAAGACTGACGCTCTACCACTGAGCTATAGGGGCATCTGTGGGTCTGGATCAAATAATTTTTCTTCTCTGTAAAGATACAATAATTCACACATTTATACGACTTTATGAGTAATTATATTTATATCAACATAGTAATTATATTTATATCTATATACCCAGATTTTTTTTATTATTTCCATTTCTACTATATTTTTTGTTTTTTTTTTTAATTTCTTTATTTTCCATAACATCATTATTATATTATATCTATCGGTAATCTGCTTCTTTCTCATGTCTCTCTCTTTTTCCTTTATCTTTTTCTTACTTCTACTTATATATACCAAAAAATTGAGTTTACGCTGAACGATTTATCAATCCTGTAAATTCAAATATCAATTGTGTATAGACTTGGAATCTCGCCATAAATGTTTCTTATTACAAATATCCTTACAATCAGTAGAGTTCAATTAATTTATGAGTCTTGTTCTCCGGATAATTAATCCATTTAATCTATGGCTCGCATGATTAAAAAAAAAAAATCAATTGCGAACCTATGTCACAGAAATTCACGAGTTTGCAAATCAATTCATTTATTCACTTAAAAGAGATCCAGCATAATAATGATTATTATAAATTTTTATCACCAAATTTCATCAATAGTTTCAGAAATCCAATTTGCTAGTTTTCCCATCAATAAGACCCGTAAAGAAGATTGGTATGGTATGCTTATCCACCTCAAAATCAAATCATTGGTGGCATCCGTACAAGAACCATTTAAATTTGAAAATTTCACATGAATCCGACATGATTGTTTTCTAAAAAAAAGTACGTGATTCTTTCACGTCAACAACATATTTTCCTTCCTAACATTAATTATTTGGAATAATGTACTTATTTTTCTACACTGCTGATTTTTATTTCTAGGATTTCATCAAATATTTTTCTCTGCTCAAAAGCAGACAAATTTTACCGCGAGGCTACTTTTTTTACCAGGGTTAATTAGGATTTTCTTTTCTTCTTTTTAACTTTGTTAGATAAATATATCGTGTTGTTCATATTTTCGAGCTAGCTTTTGTGCAAACTAAGATTATGCTCTTCGGTCATGTTTCACATTCTTTAATTTGTACGACGTTTGAGGCACCTCTTCCTTGCGATTTTAAATTACTCGCTTTAAGCAAATGTCTGTGTAAAAGCTAAATCTGACTCATGATTTAAATTAATTTTTTTCATATAGAGTATAGCGTGGTATATTGCATTCAAGGAATGAAAGTATAATTTGACGTGTTAGTTCAAAGTCTGAAAGTATAAAATACACACACACACTCATCATTATCTGTATGTCACTATATGTAAGTGGATGGAAAAGTTTATCGTATTTATCTTGGAAAATGATAATTAAAAGGTTCATTAAGTAAATATATATATATTTTTTTAACTTGATTATTTTTTATAATAAAAAGGGTTGAGAAGGAGTTCTTTAAATAACAGTTATACAGTTAATGACAAAATTTAATGATTAAAGTGGCTGTTTATATGGTTTGTGATGATTAAATTAGGAATATATATATATATAGAATGTGTCCTTAAAGTTATGATGACCTGAGACGAAACCCTGGCATGACTACAGCAGCTATAGTTACGACTTAACGTGTCTACAATGGGTCGGTCGATTTCATTTCCGTACCCAAAGATAAGGCATGCCCATTTATATGTACTTTACAGTATTCACACATTGTTGCCACATATATAATCCAGCCATAAAATACTACAAAGGATAAAACTTCAAATCATCTTCTCTATATATATGTTTTATATTGAGGAGCAATGTTCTTTATATCCCTATAATATTACCTAGTTTAAAACTTAAGCCATGTTCTTTATATCTTAAATATGAAGTTCTCTTATTAGATATACTTTTTTACACGTTAAGAAACTTCCATTAAGAACGTTTTAGATTTTAAAAAAATGTCTACACATATTATTTGATTTGAGAATTCGATAACACGAATATTAGGAACTTGATTTAATTGTTAATTAAATTAGGCCTTACACACGGAGGAAATGGTTGATAAAACTAATAGAAAGACAATTAATGAGCGCATTAACCATTAACTCAATTGTGTTATAAACTAGCTAAATACATAACTCCATGTCAATGATATATAACAAAAGCCTTAATTTATGTTGATATTATGAGATGCAAAGATTTTACTAAAATTTTTTAATTTAAATGATTGTACACTTGTGTTTTGCTTAATAAGAATTTTTGTTCAATTTTTTCTTTAGATATAGAGTTGTGATTAGAGTAATCGCTATATCTTTATAAAAATTGACTTAGTGAGAAGAAATTTTGCCTATTTATCAAAATAAAAGATCTATTAATTTTAGTCAATAAATAATTACTCCTTCCATCTTACGATAACGGTAGCTTTAACATTTAAAAAATGTCTTAATGAATAATGTTCTCATTTTTAATATAATATTAATTATTTTTTTTCTAATTTACTCTTTATAAATTAGTCAATCATTATAATTGAAACTATCAACAAAAACTATATCAAAAGATAATATATTTATTGTTGTCTTTAATATATATTTAAAAATTTTAAACTACAGTCATTATTGGATAAAAGAGGGATTATTTTGTTATACATGAATTTGATTATCAATTAATTTTTTGTTATATAATTTTTTTAGGAGAATAATGTTGTAAACTTTGTAGAACAGAAAAATGACCACAAAAGAATGGACATTTGGGGTTGAAACATGAGAACCTTGCAACATTTAAAATATGTAGGTATATTTCAATACAATCTGCTGAAAGAGGAAAAAATAAAAATTTATATAATTAATAACAGAAAACTTACTAACATATATATGTATTATTTTGCATTACTAACTAAATGTAACTAATTGTTTGTTGATTAAAATAACATATTTTACATCAGACAAAGATCACATAGATGCCAATTTAGGTCAACTTAAAAATCTCTAGGGTCAACAAACACATTTCCCATTTGTTCTTTTATCAAACCAACATTTTCATCACCATGGCTTGAAAGCTTCTTTGTGTACCACAGATCATCGATGCATGACATAGAAGTTGTTTGAGGAACATGGTTGGCAAGTGGATCACCAAACCCTAACTCAGCTATAACCACTCTACAATCCCTCATACCTTCTCCCACTCTTGATGTGAACCTCCACATTGATTCAATGAGTTGTCCAAGATTCTCTCCCTCTCCATGGATTCCATAGAGGAAGAGAAACCCAAAAGACCTACAAAGTGAGTCACTCACCGACATTTTGAGACAAGGGAAAACTTTCTCTTTTGCATGATTCAAGGTTGCAAGAAGAAACTTTAGTAGTTGAGACTTTCTAACTTGATGAGGCTTATAAGCTTCACAAGTGTTCCATATGCTAAAAATAACCCATGAGCTTGAGGTTTCATTGCTAATAATAAGATCTTCATTGTTTACTTTGCTCAACAAGTTGAGCAATCCCTCTTCTTTGTAATAGCTCACCCATGTGCCAAGGCTTAGCTTTTCTTTTAGAATAACATCCATGTCTAATGGATACAAATCTTTGGTCCTCAAGGTTCTTCTATATAACGAAATTGCTAGATCTATGTTCACTTTCTCTATTTTTATATCCTTGGAAATTTGCTTTGTGAGGGAACTAGTTGGTTGGACAAATATGACAAGTGAACTTAGATTCACATAGTTGCATTTGATAGTAAATAGGTTTTTAGATGCATCGTTGCTCTTTTCTGTTGCGAGGAATGCATACTCAGCTCCATTTCTCACCATCCATTCTTCAATTGCAGTGACAAGTCTTAGTGCAACCCCCTTTCTCCTACAAATATATCAAAATGTCATCTAAATAACATTGACTACTAATTAAGGTTTTAAAACAATTAACAAAATTGTTGATAAACATGTAATTAAAGTCTCCAAAGCCTTATAAAACCATAATAACATGTCTGCAATGTTGCAATCACCGACCACAATTTAAAACAATGTTAATCAATCCCTTGCTTTCAAGTCAAGTTCGAAATTTAGCTTTATTTTTTCTTTATAACAAAGTATAGGATCTACTCTATGTTCCATATACTAAAAGGTTACAAAACCAATTCACAAGAATAAGAAGAGACAAACAACATAATCAATACACCAATAAAAAAAGAACATTGATCATTTTAAGTCCAATTAAATGGAAGCAAAGTTAGTATTACCTATAAGTAGGAGAGACTCTGAGGCCTAAGATGCAACCCATCTTCAAGAATGACCCAGAAAGAGTCCCCACATTCTTAATGATTCCCCGAATCACTCCAACAAGCTCCCTGCTCTCAAGAAGCTCAGCTACCTGAAGCAAATATGTAATCAGTGGCTAAGATAGTAATTAGAGTATGTTTGAATACAAATTTAAAAGTATTTTTGTACTAAAAAAACTCTCTACTTCAATAGAGAAGCTCTTCTAAATTTGTATCAAAATAGGTTCTTAATGATATACATCAATATATGTTCTGGAAATAGATATATGTTTCATGTCAGAGAAGTACAATACAAAGATATCAATATACATCAATATAAGGAGAATGTGAAGATTGTTATCTGATGGAATAACACAAGTTACTAGTATTTGAAAGACAATGATATATATGTAAGTTGGAAAAAGAAAATGGATATATGTTAGTCACCCACCAGCATAACATGAAGGGGGAAAAACCTAATCCTAAATAAAGGGTCATCCGTGATGCTGGATAAAATGGAGACCACCTTCTTAGTCCCTATGTCACAGTTCCTCTCTAGCTTTCTCACCATTTTAGCATCTTGCTTTTCATTATATTCTCTTATAAGAACCTTGTCTGCACGGTCAACCATTTCTTCTCTTTGGCTAAATGAAGCAAGTGAGGCTGTGGGAATGGAAATCATTATGGGATCTTTCTTGATTTGGCTCTCTCAACCAATATTCAACATTGTATCCAACACATATAAAGTCCAATATTCAATATATGGCGAAGAATTGCTTTCTTCTTTCTTGCTTTTTTTTGTTCTGTTGTCGTGACTTCAACACTACTATTTTCCAACACATGAATTGATGCGTGCGTTGAAATTAGCATTGTCATGTTATTTTTTTTTTCAACACGTTGAAAGAATTAGAAGATGAGTCATGTTTTGTGAAGTAAAATGCACCGAGGCATAAGCTAAATATATAGTTTTTAGATATATACATGGTTCAAATCCAAATATATATATATATATATATATATATATATATATATATATATATATATATATATATATATATATATATATATATATATATATATATATATATATATATATATATATATATATATATATATATATATATATATATATATATATATATATATATATATATATATATATATATATATATATATATATATATATATATATATATATATATATATATATATATATATATATATATATATATATAAGTTATAATAACATCGGTGTAATTTTTATCAAGTATTATACTGTTCAATAACTTTATATTAAATATGAATTTTGTAAATTTAACCGATAAATTGAAAGTTCTTTATTATTATATTATTTAATAATTTTATATTAAATATGAAATTTTCAAAATTATGTTAAATTAAAAAACTTAGGATGTTCATTGGTTAAGATAATTTGATAGATCAGATATTCTGAATTAATTAGTTTCTTTGATTGGATCAAAATTTAAACCAAAGAAATCTAAAACCTTCATTTATCCAGCTGATAACATATTTGCACCTTACAAATTCGTTAATCGAAAAGTCGAACTAAATATCTATAATAAGTTTATATTTTTATTATTTTATGTTTTAATTTATTACTAATTAGTAATTACAAATTTTAAAGTGTAAAATAAAAGTTGGATGTACTACGTCGAGAGATTATCTTAATTTCAAATACTGGACAACATTAATTTCATATATATGAAAAATTTAGTTTATGTTAGTCCTTTGCTTTATTTTGGATAATTTAGCTTAAGTTGAATAATTTGGTTTACATGCAACAATTTGATTTATATTAAATCATTTGATTTTTGTAGGACACTTAGAGTTGTGGACTAATATTTGTTTATGAATACTGTTTTATATTGTTTATATATATTTGTTTCAAATTTCTACAATACTATTTTATTTACACTCGAATATGTTCTTTACAATCATTTAATATCATGTTTATATATTTAAATTTTGAAACGAAATCATGTAATTTTATGTTTTAAAAAAAATATAAATCTGTATTATTTTTTAAGAAAATCTAATTGATCTGAACCGAATTAAACATATTAACGAAATTGGTTTTGTTTAGATTTTTCTCTCTCTCTCTGTTTTTAATTTATAAATTTGATCCAAAATCTAAATTAATTAATTAAGACTTTGTTGTACGGCTGTTAGAATGACGTCTTCTTTTTCAGAATGGTTGATGAACCCCTTGTCTTGTGCAAGTATCCTTTAAGTTTATTTTTATTTATTTATTATTTTTGGGACATCTTGTTTTTAATTATGACTTGCACTTCTTGTGCATAATTTTCTTGTGATTAATAAATTCTTGGCTTATCAAATTTTTTTTTTTACTCTAAATTCAAAATAAATCAACCCATAGCAACTCCTAAATAAATGTAATAGTAATCATATTAATTAAAATTAACAATTAAGTTTATCAACATTCTTAATTATTGATTTTGTCATATATGTATTTATAATTTTCTCACCATTCTTAATTATTGATTTTTTTTTTGTGTGGTCAAAAAAATTATTGATATTTTGATTAATATTTGTGAGTGCATCTCTTTACTTTTGGAGGAGTCAAGTTTTCAACATGTGCTCAAAATATGGTTTGTTTGTTCTAGTAACATGTTATGACACTTTGAGTCGTACGTTTGGGGTCTTAAAATTTAACTAAATATAGATTTTATTATGTTAGAATATATGCTAGCTATCTAACTAGGTGCACTACTACATAACATTTAAAAAGAAATAATGAAAGATTATTAGACTTTTTAATTTATATTGATGCCTTTTGCATCGGATGAAAATATTTTAGTATTGATATAAATCGTTTTGCAATACACAATGTAAAATATTACCACTTAATTTTAGTTTCTAACTTAATATTTTATGATTTAATTATACATTAGATTTAATTTGTAAATCTTGTTTAAATATCTTAATGGTCTAATTAGTCTTGATTTATCATTAATTATTTACAAAAAAAAAAATCAAATTAAACATTAATTTTAGTTTGTATATATGAAGTTAAACCATGGATTACTACTCCTAATTTTATTATCAAACCATATATAGAATCTTACTTCAATAGATGTATCTACTTAAAGAGATCTTGGTGTTAGAGGTAAAACTTATCTTCAAGTCTTTGTCAATCCTCAAAGTCTTAGATCAAACTGAAACTATTGAACTTCAGTTAATTACTAATTGGACTATGTTATTTGGTTTAAAGATCTCTAACATGTTATTGGTATTTTAGTTCTTGAAGATGTCATCCTTTATCTATCATATATACTAAAAAAAATCTGTTCTCACCTGAGATCGGCGTAGGGGCAGTCTCTTGACGAGATTGGTGGGTCTCTCTTGCTTGGCACGTCGATCGCTCCGAGATGGGGAAGTATCTGCAAAAGAGATTCCGAAACTTAAGTTAGTCTTTATAGATGTGCGGGTCTCGTATATAGAATGAGCGTATCTTGATGTAAATTAAGATTTTTCTCCCTTGGGTGAGAAATGGGTTAGTTGCGGCTTAATAAGGTTGTGGGGCTTGCCTGTTTGGCTGATGTCGCTGGCGAACAAGTACAGAGGTGGGCCTCGGTGTCCAATGTGAATGTGAATAGTACAAAATCAAATATATAGATGAACTTGCTTTATAAGTATTTTAATTTTTATATTTTGTCCCTAATTATTGAAAATGTTGTATTTCTTCTTATTATTTTAAAGACGTCTTACAATGGATCACCTTTATAGGTAGAGCATAACTAACGGATTTTTTCTTTTTCTTGACGGGGAACCTCTCCGCCATGCCTCCCCTTCCTCCTCTGCCACCCTTTATTCCAGTACCTCATGACCCTCTCACCATTCCCCTCTTCTTCCTTCATTTTCACACTTAACACCACTTCCGTTAATTACCCTCTCTTATTTCTTTGAAATACAATTCAAAAATTTTCCTTTTTTTATCCTTTTCCAAGTTTGGAGAAGGTAGTTGGTCGAAAAGGTGGTGACATGGGTGAAGAGGAAGCGTAATGAAAGGGATGTGGGGATGGGTATAGTTCATTCAATTTTATATTTCATATATGTTTTAAATTTTTTAAACTGAAGTCATTTTATATTTTTAAATATTTTTAAAAAATAGGAGACCACATTCATGCTTTAACAGTCATTCAATTTATTTTTTTTGTATTTATGAAAAAAAATATTTTTCAGTTTTTATTATTAAAACTGTCTTTCAATTTCATACTAAATAACGACTTTGAAAAAAATATAAAAAAATTTTAAAATAAAAAATTTACACTTAATAACATATTATAACTACTCTCTAAGTTTGATATGTCCAAAAAATGAAAATTGCCATTAATGAAGTTTGCAATTGATACTTGAAGCAACTGTTTTAATTTTTTTTTAAAAATTATACTATATATTATATATAATTATATATATTTATTCTCTTTAAAACTATATTATGTACTTAATATAATAAGATCTCTTCATAAAATTATGTGTCTATTTTTTTATTATTATATATGTATATATATTATTTTATACTTAAGAAACCTTAATTTATTGTTTTACTTCAAACTTATAAAATGACATAATTGACTCTGATCTTATGCACATTAGTAAAGGCATAAATTAATTAAGGAAACTAGAAAAACTTTTTTTTTTTGACAGTAGCAAACTAAAATAGTTTTGGTTTTTTTGAAACCCAAACTAAAATAGTTAGAAATCAAGAAATTCACTTATAAAAAAAATATAACTCGAGAAAAATTTGAGTTAATGAAACCAGTTATTTATGTTGATTAAATAATAGAGATATTATTAACACAATATATGTATGCATTTGTCATTTTATTTAATGATCTTAACTCAAGTTCTAAAACCAGATTAAACGTTGAATTGCAATAATAATAAAAAGTTGAAAATGCCTATTATGGTATTCTTAATTTTAAAATTGTTTGATTTATATATCTATTTTGTTTGAATTGGATTGGGATGATGTATTTTTTATCTGAAATGAACTGAGATGATATGTCTAGTCTATTTGAAATTGTCTAAGCTGATGTCCAGGCCAAAATGATTTAATTTGTCCAAAATTATCTATTCGAAATGGTCTAATCAAGTTGATTTCTTGGCTAAAAAATATCTCTCGCTTGAAATGTGTATCTCTTACGATTAGGGATGGCAAATATACCCGTACCCGTGGGTAATACCCGAACCCGTCCCGACTTTGACGGGGAATACCCGGTTTGACCGGGTACGGGTACGGGTAAAACCCGATATATTGAATCGGGTACGGGTACGGGTACGGGTATGTACTTACCCGCCCCGTACCCGTACCCGTACCCGTCCCCGTTCTCATTTTTAATTTAATATTCACTTTTAATTTAATTATATTAAAAAAATTTAATATTTTTTTATGTATGATTATTTATTATAATGTGAGATAAAAAAATAACCTAATTATAATTATAATATAATAAAAAAAATAATTTAAAAATATTATTTTTTTAAAAAAAATAAAAAATAAAAAAATTGACGGGTACGGGTACGGGTACGGGTATACCCGATACCCGACGGGGATGGGGATGGGGATGAAAATCCATACCTGACGGGTATGGGGACGGGGATGGGGATGAGTTTTACTTGCGGGGACGGGGACGAGTATCATGAACCCCGTCCCCGCCCCGCCCCGTTGCCATCC